TTCTGGATTCCAACTATTACCATGCTGCTGCCATCTGAGGACAGGGTCAAATATGGGTCCTGGAGTGGGGCATCTTGGAGGCCCAGGCACTTGAATGGACCTTCTCAGTTGACTTGACACAGTCATGTTTGTGTGGCTCTGTGGATGTAGGCAGCAATGAGGCTGGGTTGAGAGCATGGATGGCTTTTATGGTTAACCTAGGATCTTCCAGAAGGAGCCCCTGGTATTCGGTCAGCCTGGTTCCTGACAGCCATTTGTCCCTGGGTCCCCTCAGTAGGCTTTGAACTGCCTGGGAGTCATAAAGCTCTAAGGTTTGTCCCAAAGTTAACCTGTCAACTTCTTTCACCCAGGATGGCAGTGGCAGCTACATAGTCTAGCTTCTTATACAAGTATGCCATGGAACAGCACCAAGATCCCAGAGGACACCCCAAGCTATACCCTGCTTTTGATGTATAAACAATTTAAAAGAAAAAAATTCAAAAGGCTTGGTGATATCCAGGAGGACCAAGGTGGGAGAATTCAATAATTTCTCCTAGAGGGCATCGAAGGCTAGTTGGTGATCAGGGTTCCAGTCTAACAGGGGACCATTTTCACCTTTAAGTACCTCATACAAGGACCTATTGATGACTGAAAAATTAGGGAGCCAGAGGCGATGGTACCCTACAGTTTCTGGAAAGTCCCTAAAGTCTTTTTTGAGACTGGCTTTTTTTTTTTTTTTGCAGAACCGGGGATTGAACTCAGGCCCTTGCGCTTATCTCCCTGGCCCCTAGACTGGCTTCTTGAGACCTCAGATGGCCTAGGTTCAGGCTGCTGACAACATTTGAATCCCACCTTTAAGTATGACCCAAGGAACTTGACTGGCTGCACACAGATCTGGGCCTTTCTCCTGGATGGTTGATACCCTGCTCTTGGAGCAGGCCCAACAATTTTTTTTTTTTAATTTCTGAATGATCTGCCTCTCTAGTCTCAGTAGCCAGAAGCAAGTCATCAGTGTAATAGAATAGAGATGCTAGGATTTTCTTGACTAAAGGGGCCCAGGTCCTTGGTTAAGGCCTCCCCAAATATTGTGAGAGAGTTCTTAAATCTCTGGGGGAGCCTTGTCCAGGTGAGTTGGCACTTATGTCCCTCTCAGGTTCCTCCCATTTAAAAGCAAACAATTCCTGAGACCCCAAGGACAAGGGAATGCAAAAGAAAGCATCTGTTAAGTCCAGCGCAGCGTACCAGGTCTGAGACAAGGAGGCTGATCAAGGCAGAAGGGTGAGGGACAGGGGGATGTAAGGTGATGACTAGTGTGTTAATGGTGCACAAGTCTTAGGCCGGGTAGTATCATTTGTCTTTAGCTTTGGAATGGGAAGGAAAAGGGTATTCTGGGGGACTGGAATTCCCTTAAGATCGGAGCCTCAAGCAATCTGTGGATATGAGGTTTAACTCCTTTCCTAGCTTCCACGGCCATTTTGTATTGCCCAAGGCGGGTCAGCCTTGCATATCCCATCAACTTGACAACAGGGAGCACAAGAACCACTAATCCTGGGGTTTGATTGTCTTCAGCCCATACCAAGGGGAACTGATGAGTCCAAAAAGACGAGATCATGTCACCTGGTTTTGGAGATAGGGTCTTGCTATGTGGTCCAGGCTGGCCTGAAACTTGCGATTCTCCTGCCTCAGCTTCCCTCAGTACTGGGATGACAGGAATATGTCCCAACACACAGCTCAAGGGTAGCATTTTGAGGGGATTCATCTGATGTGATTCAGTAGGAGTCTAGCACAGTAATGGCAAAACTTTTAGAGACTAAACTGCAACACCAAATCGACTTATTGAAAAGTGCCCCCCCCCAAAAAAAAAAAGAAAGAAAAGTGCCAACGTTATAATTAAACCTCAGTATACATCCTTGGCCACACACTGACCGGCCAAGGGCTTGAGTCACAGCTTGTGAGGTCATCACCTGGGGCCAGCAGCTACTCCATTCTGAGGATGCATGTGGCCCTGCATATGCTGTTACCTGCCGGCTGTCTGCCTGCCGGGGCCACTTGGCTCACATATCGAGGGCTCTGCGTGTCCACACGGATCTAATGGGCAAACAGCTGCCCAGGGGTGTTACCAGACCTTATCCCAGCTAGGGTACAGGCTACAGGACTGGAAGAGCTGGTCACTGTAGATAGAAAAAATAGGGGGAGGGGGCCGGGGAGATGGCTCAGTGGAGTAAGTGCTTCCCTGAGCTCAATCCCCCCTTCTGCAAAATAAAAAAAAAATTGGGAAGACACTAACACACCATATTCAACCAAAAGCTCTGGAGAGAGAAAAGTCAAAACATTGTTAGCAACTCCTTGTGGACACTGCAGGCATCACTAACCTGCGGCTGTCCTGTCGCTCCCCCTGCTGGCTGAAGTGAGCACCGCACACAGGAACGTTGAGCTCCTGAGAACTTGCTAATTAATCCTGGCAGTCTCAGCTAGCATTCTGCAATGCTTCGGGGCAAAATATATTAAAAGGACACTTTTCTGTAAAACACACATTTCTCTTCCAGTTCCTGTAGTCGCGTCTATGTAAGTGAATCCTTAAATGTTATCAAGCACAAAGCTAAACTGGGTGCTGCAAGGACGACCCAATGATACCACCCAACCTAGCTTTTCACTAGGCACTCCTGCCAGCCAGCATCCACAGGCCAGGGTGCCTGAGCCAGGCTGCAGGATCCTGTCTGCCAGCTGTTGTACTACCCCGCTCCTAGGAACCCGAGAACATCACCAGGCTCTGCCTTTGTACACGACCATAGGAGGTGGGAACTCTGCAGCAAGCAGAGCAGGCCAACTGCAACCGAACACTCCCTTGCTCATGTAGGTTTGGATAAAACGTGGAGACACACACAGCACACGCCCATCAAGCCCCCAAGTTACACCAAAATGGAAAATGGGTTAGGGGTGCAACTGTGGTCAGGTACATGCTCAGCATGCACACTGCCCCTGCAGAACTGGGGGTACTAAGGACACAACCATAGGCGCACCAAGGCTTTTAATTATCTCAACCTCAACTGGGGCTCAAACCCGAGTATGTGCATAAGCCCCCATCTCGTTTCACACCCTCAAAAACCTGATAAAGGGCTGGGGGACTTGGTCCTTGCTACAAACCCCTGCACTGCAGAAACAGCCATGTAACAATACTGTGCAGTAAACCCAGCACCTCCTGACCACCCTCACCCCATCTGCTCCAACCTACCCTAGCTGAGTAAACCTGAACCCAAGACCCTCTGGCTCTCCACACTTAGACAAGCCAGCAGCCACCTAACTTAACATTCAGACCAAACTTTGAAATGCTGAGTACCCATGGAAAAGACGGGTTTGGCCAACCCCACCATTCAGAGATTAACTTCAACACATGGGGGAGGGCCAGCGGGATAGCTCAACAGCCTAATGCACCCGTCTAGGTAAAATGAAGGGACCATGGTTGAATCCTCTGCACCACATGCTGTGCCAACCCCACACCGCGAGGGTGCGCCCAGTCAGCCACAGAAACAAATGTGAGGGGCACAGCAACTTACCCACCTCCCCATTGCATCAGGAATGGCCTTTGGAACCTCTGCAGCACTACAAGGAGTGGCTTGAGCTAGGGGTGTGGTCAAGTGGGTCTTACCATCACAAGCACTCCTGCAAAGTCAAAAGATACCATTTGTAGGCCAGAGTAAAATTTTTTAAAGGCTCACCTTCGCTGTTTCAAAGGTTTCAGCCTAGTTAGCTGACTAGGAAACCATCTTGAGATTCTAGGCTAATACGAACTCAATTACTAAACCAGCTTGTTTCAAACTTACCAGGGGCCAGGGAGATGGCACAGTAGAGTAAGCGCTTCCCTGGCAAGTGCAGGGGCCCAAGATCAATCCCCGGTTCTGCCAAAACAAAATCAAACTTAACACCTAACTCCTTACCATGCTACATGGCCTAACTATTACTGACACAGGCTAGAGGTCATTTACTTCCCCCCCCCCTTTAGCTAAGAAACAGAAAACTTCAAGTACCACAAAAACCCGGCAGGATCCAGTTTACTACAGTAAGATAACAGATTTAATCTAAGAACTTTAACCCTTTA